TTGATTGTCAATTATACAGTGTGGAATGACAAACATGCCGATTTCCAATTAACCAAAAAGTGTCGATTGGTCGAGAGAACATTAATTAAACTCCAACAGTACGGAAATTGAAATTGAGAATACAAAGTTGCACACTCCCAGAAATCTTTTAAGCTGATTTCTTGTGCCCTTAAGAAGAAACAAGCCCTCCCCGATTTCACGACATTTACACGCACCGTAAGGGTTTGCGCAATGTTTTTGAAAAAAAACTACCCATGCTTGCATACTTATTCCAAATTGCACGGTTGGTTATAAACTTATTACTTACCTATGATCATCACCTCGTGGTGGAAAAGCAAATCTATCCCATCAAATTGCCTGTCATCTTGCAGAAAACGTCCGAGACGTTTGGGCAAGTGTATGCAGCCTAATCGTGATTCATAGTAGCCCTGTACATTAGCAGCATTTTAATGTGTATTTTGAGTCAACTTGAAGAGAAAGGTATCTTGTATCGTGATTACAGTATGAACGACGTTTCTTTTGACATTCGTGGTAATGAAGTCAGAAAACATTTACCAGCGAAACGCATTGTTGTACAGTATGAAGTTCGATCGCATTTAGAGTCATGCGAGAACATTCGCACCGTTTAGTGTCCATTGTAAATAACACTGTATGGAGATACTTCCTAAATATTTTCTATTAGGACTTAAAGAAGTCTAATGTTTTTGAACGTAAATAAAAAAAGTAACGTGTTGGATAATTGAATATTTCTCGTTGAATACACAGCTCCCTCATAATTTTAGTGTAGATAATCGAAACAACTGCTTTCCAAAGGTAAGATGTCTCAGTAGGGATAGGGATAAAAGGGATAAAAAGTGATAAATTTAATCATCAGTCGTAAAAAGAGTTAACCCCAAAAATTTTATCTTTTAATTGCAGCGGAAAGAATCAATGCCCTGTAGAGACCCTCGAGTTAAATTTACCTTGTAACTTAAATAAACGTAGTAAGTATTATGACTTAAGAAGAATAATGCAATCTTATTGTTGATGGTGACTATACTATATGTTGGGTAAGTACGCAATCTAATCGTGAATAGAGTAATTCATAGTATCCCGCGT